TTTCAGGAAAGGCCTTTGTTCAGCAGTGGAATTGTCATGGGCAGTGATGATAGTGAAGAAAAAAATGTATTTAGTAGTTAGACCAAGCTGCTGATTGTTTTGAATAGTGAGTGTAGAGAACCGGCGACCCTTTTTATTGGAAACGAGGCATTCTATCTTAGTCAATCCATTCTATCAAACCAAATGGACAAAACTCAAATCAAGCGACGGGTATTATCGGAAGTCAAAACAACAAAATTAACGCAAACCGCACTCGCTTTCAGGCGAAATTGCGGAGCGCACGTTTGTATCGAAACTTTGATTTTTTTTTTCAATTAAGAACCAAAATACAGATGGGTTGTTACTCCTAAGAACTGCGATGGAATGCCTCGTTTCCAGTAAAAAGGGTGTCCGTTTCTCTACACTCACCATACGAAACAATGCAGCATTGAGCTGCTATTTTACGCTGGTATTCTGTAAGAACATGTCCCTACCCCGGTCAAGCCGACTTATTCGTGCTACAACCATAATATAGCTTCACCGTCGCTCTACAACGTTTTATTAATTTGAAATATAATACTTGGATTTATAAGTTATCCAATACTTTTCATCGTACAATCCTATCTTCTCAATCAGAGTTTACAATCCTTCTATAAATGTCTATAAACTAGCTCTGCCCACGACTTCGTTCGCGTGGAATCAGTACCTACTTTTTTATGCTAAGTGATGATGGTTTATTTGTAAATTAAACTGTCGCGAAGACTCAGACACAAACAGTCAATCAGACAAACGAACGATCAAATAAACGGATCCACAAACGAACCAAGAAACGAATGGGGCAAACTGTACGCTTGTGTTTTATTTTGTAAATAAAAACCAAAATGACCGCAATGAGGTAATCCCTAAGTTGCTTCCAAATTTATCTAGACAATTGGTACTTGATTTCTATAAAACAAATAATAGATTGCCCTAAATAAGCAAGCACTATCACCAATTATTGATATTAAATTTAAAAAAAATTAAATGAAAACTACAATTCAATGCCTACCTAAAACTAAGTACCTATACTAACAAAATAAATAAAATTGCGTAAGTATCTATAATTTGTCTCATCCTGCAAACAAATTAAAAATAAAACTAAACTCAACCCAGGAAAGTATTTTGACCTTTAAGTAATAGGTGTGATCGGGCTTAAAAATCAGTTGGGTTTTACTATCAAGAAATTCTCAGTAGCAGCCCGGAGTCAAGGGTTTAGCAGTGTTTCATCCCTATGCCTCAAAAGCACGTACTAGGCTGTACTAAAGGTATCGGGAATGGAATATTTCATTTCATGTCATATTAAAATCTTTTTAATTGAAAACTCCTTGGTTTTAAAAATCGAATACCGTTTATTTATCTAAAAAAAGATTCTCGGTCTTGTCACAAGGTTTTGTCAAACTTGTTTAGTCGTTGAGAAAATGGAATTGACTCGAGAAAATTCAAGAGCGATGATTTATTATGACTTTCGAAGTGGTTTAACACAAAAACAGTGTGTTGACCGGATGATTTCCACCTTTGGTGATGAAGCCCCATCCAAAACCACAATTTATCGCTGGTTTGCTGAATTTCAACGTGGACGTGTCAAGCTCAGTGATGATCCCCGTCAAGGTCGTCCAAAAACTGCAGTCACCCAACAAAACGTTGATGCTGTGCGTAAGCTGATTGAGGAACATCGACATGTGAAATTCAGGCAACTTTAGACATTGGCATGAGTCAAATAAAATAATCTTGCATGAACAATTAGGTGTAAAAAAGTTGTTTTCCCGATGGATACCGCATTCGCTCTGTGAAGAGCAAAAAGCGGCTCGCGTTTTTACAGAATTTATCGCGTATATTTAACTTTTTAATTACCCGACGTTTCGAACGCTTTACAGCACTCATGGTCACGGGCAGGACTGAGCTGTTCAACGTCCATATGTCATAGTTAACCGCGGTTACCATAGATTAAAATTTAACTTAGAATTTAGCATAGATCGGAACAAAAGTTAAATTTTAATCTATGGTAACCGCGGTTAACTATGACATATGGACGTTGAACATCTCAGTCCTGCCCGTGACCATGAGTGCTGTAAAGCGTTCGAAACGTCGGGTAATTAAAAAGTTAAATATACGCAATAAATTCCGTAAAAACTAGTATTATTTCAAAGCGGCTCGCGTTACTTGATGCGTCAGAACTCTTGAAAGATTCCACGCAGGATCCTCAAACGCTGTATACAACATCGTATCAGGTGACGAATCCTGGATATACGTGTACGAACCCGAAACAAAAAACCAGTCACGAGTTTGGGTGTTCGAAAATGAGTTAAAGCCAACAAAAATTGTTCGTTCACGGAGTGTTGCAAAAATAAAATGGTGGCCACATTTGTCTCCAAAACCGGCCATGATACGACTATTCCTCTTGAGGGACAACGAACGGTTAATGCAGAATGGTATGCTAGCATTTGTTTGCCACAGGTCGTTTCTAAACTCCGTAAAGAGAACTGCAACCGCCGCATCATCCTCCATCACGACAATGCGAGTTCTCACACCGCACACAGAACAAAAGAGTTTTTAGAGCAAGAAAACATAGAATTATTAGACCATCCGCCGTACAGTCCCGATCTAAGCCCTAATGATTTCTATACTTTCTCTAAAATAAAGAATAAATTGCGTGGACAGAGATTTTCATCACCTGAAGAAGCTGTGGATGCCTACAAAACGGCCATTTTGGAGACACCAACTTCCGAATGGAATGGTTGCTTCAATGATTGGCTCCATTGTATGGAAAAATGTGTCAAATTTCGCGGAGGATACTTCGAAAAGCAATAAATACATTTTTAAATAGTAATGTTGTGTCACTTCCTTGATTCCCGAAATTTTCAGAGGCAAAAAATTTTAAGAAACTTATATTTGCTGGTCCAATACAAGCATTGCGTTGCAAGCAGCAAGTTAAGTTATTTACATAGTGTCATGTGTCTTTCATATCTCACTTGTAATTAAAACTTATGGTCCTAGAAAATACCTTATAGCGCCATTTATATAAAATTATATTAGTTAATTTATTATTACAGTAAAATAAACATTATATGATATTTAAAAAAGGACGGGTAGGAATAATATAAAAACAACTCAAAATCGGGTAACGTAATATTTCAATTTCACGACAATGTAAATTTTTAAAACTTTTTGGAACTGCAAAACTCCCCTTTTGCAGTACCATTGTTATCAAACCAAAGAAATTGTTAATAGCTCTATTAAAATTTAATTGACCATGTCGTAGGTACTCGGCGGTTAAGAAAAAAATTATAAGCAAGCCTCCTTATTTAAAATTAATAATTTGAACAACACCATCTATCGATGACATTGGTTAACTATTGTACTTTTTTCACTAAGATATTAGAGTTTACATATTTTTATATTTTATAATAACGTTATTTTTTATTATTTTTGTTTAATTTGTTTAGATATACTTAATTATATAATTATAAAACACTATTTTACATAGGTTAATAAAAAAATGTCCTTCATCATTCTACGCCGCTATTGGTACAAATTCATACCTATACATCGTAGGCCTGTACTTCAGAATATAAATCATAACTATTAATAGGATGAATCGATTTTAATAAAACAAAGACTAAATGTAAAACGAAGATAGGTCTCACGTTTATTTTGATATAAATCAGTACTTTATACATGATACGTTAACAAACAAACAAACAGACAAACAGACAGACAATTCTAAAATTATTAAAATCTATTCATATACTCATTTTTAGTCCCTCTAATTCAATTTTGTTAAAAATTATAAAATGTACAAACATGTTCAATTTACAATTTTATTATATGTGGTTGAGGCTCACAAAAAATGTACTTCGTCTATATTTTTCACGTGCCAAAATTTAAGAATATATAATATATTTTTTGGTAGTTCTTTGTAAATATTCTGATTATTTTATGTATTGGGCATTATTCGCTTGTTAATATTACTCGATTTAAATTGAGAATACTTTTTAATATAAGCAAAAACAAACTGGTACAAAAAGTTGGTGAGATGTAATTTCATAGAAAAATAAAATGTGTCCATGCGTAGTACATTTCCTTTTTCTTCATTACTTCATCGTTTGAATAAAGTATTGTGATTTCTTAATGTTATGCTAAATGTAATTGCATAAAACTACTGTTCTAATAATAAGTGTAATAAAACTAGTAAAAAAATAATTAAAAAACGATTGAATAAACAAATGTGTTCCATCTGATTCACGTGTGTTACAAAAACTGTGTTGTAACACAGTTTTTGTTACACACAAAAATGTAAAAGCTGCTATGTATAGCAGCTTTTTTGGTAGAAGCAATAGCAACACGTCATCTATTTTTTTCACAATGGCAACACTATAACTTTCAATATGAAACGTCAGTGTTTTGTCAGACATCTTGGTTTACGGGCAGTAGGCAGTACTTGGTGTGTGTATTTTTCGTCATTGGATTTTAGAGACTTTTGGAAATAATTTTGCAAGGTAAGTAATAACATTAAGTTGTTTTGTAATATATATAGTTGAAAGAGACATTAAATATTCCAAAATAATGCAGTTTATTACGGATTTGCTTTGCAAGTAAAGATGCTACCTGAATTTTAGGTTATGTTCTTCACGAGTGTTTGTTCACGTATGTTGCGTTTGTTACGAAGTTGTGTGACGTAACACACTTAGGTATAGAAAAAGATAAATATTTATGTCTTGTGTCAAAAAAAGGAGGTTCTCAATTCAACTGATATTTTTTATTTTCTTTTGTATGTATGTTACGCGATTCTCCAGATTCTGTAGACCGATTTCATAAATACTTTTTGGTGAATAGAGAATGCCTTCAGGCTGGTCCCATATAAATTTGTTGTTTAAAGTAGGCTATTTTTGGGTTTTTAAACCGGAAAAAAGTTTAATATACAACAAAAAGTAAAATGTAACTGCATTCATGGTTTTTATTTTTATTTTATGTTGATTTTACAGATGCCTCTAACACCTAAAGAAAGGCAGAAACTTTATCGAGAACGGCTGAAAGAAGTAAATCCTGAAAAATTTAAATTGAAGAAGAAAGAAAAAAAGGAAAAAAAAAAGAAAAAAAAGAAGAAAAGTAAGAAAGAACCTAAGCCTGAAGTAGTGCCTTTAGAAGGACATGGACAAATTTTAACACAGAAGAGAAATTATAATAGAAGCGTCATTTATAGACTGAAAAATGAAAACACAAAGCTAGAAGAGGAATTAAAAAAAATATAAAAAGTCGTTGAAAAAAATTAGGCAAAGATTAAACCGTTCTATGGAAAAAAATAAAAAGTTACTTGAAATTATTGAGAAGAAAAACCAAATGATTCGTAGCTTTGAAGACAGGTCAAGCCCAATTGCCAAAAAAGATGAAGCCCTTGAACAAATGACCCCCGTTTCGAAAACGTGCGCATACATTGACCAAAATTTACCTAGTATTCGACCTGAAGAAAGAGAAAGCGTGAAAAAAGTTTTGCTAGAACATAATGTAATAGTGGACACTATAAAATACAGCTACAAAAGTAAAAACACTCAAGAAAACCGATTAATTAAAGATGTTTTTACCAAAAGTGATAACATTAATAAATACAGTATGAAAACTAAGATGGCTACCTATTTAGGTCTTAAAGGATAAATTCGTCACACTAAACAGAAAAATAAAAGCCCATTAATACAGACACAGTTAAGAAACTTTTATGAAAGGGATGATGTGAGTAGAATGACAGCAGGGAAAAACGAAGTAAAGACACAAAAAAAAACAAAAAAAAAACAGAGAAAGTATTTGCTTGGCACTCTACATAAATTATATCAGAAATATAGAGAAGAAGGAGGAAAATTATCATTTTCAACTTTCAAAAGGTACAGACCCTTTTATGTATTACCACCAAAAGCCGAGAAACGAGAAACTTGCGCTTACAAGAGGCACGAAAATTTGCAAATGAAAGCCACGTCATTGAAGTCAATTGGATTAATAGCAACAACAGATCTTGATGAGTTACTGAGTATGGTTGTATGTTTTTCAAAGTCAAAGGAATGTGCTTACGGAGACTGTGATTTTTGCAAAAACAAACGTATTGATTTTTCTATGGGTGAAAAAGATCTAAACTATAATGTTTCATGGGATGAATGGGTTTTGAAATCTCATGAATACAAACCAAAAAAAATTGTGATGTGACAAAGATTACGAAAAAAAAAAGTCATAGAAAAAAAACTGGTTCGCTAAAAATGCTCCTAGATGCCTTTCAAGAAGAACTGCAAAGTTTCAAAATCCATTCCTACAATATCGTGCATCTGTACAAACAATATCGGCAGTGCATAGAAAATTTAGATGACCGTACTGTCGTTCTACACGTTGATTTTTCGGAAAACTATTCTTGCAAATTAGCCACTGAAATACAAGCCATGCATTTTGATGGGTCCAGACAACAGATCAGTCTCCACACTGGGGTGTTATATACCGAAAAAAGGTCATCAATCTTTTGCAAGTTTAAGTCCAAACAAAGACCACGGACCAGATGCCATTTGGGCACATCTCTTACCTGTGCTTAAGTTGGTCAAGGAGAAATTACCCAAAGTAGACGGGATTCATTTTTATTCAGATGGCCCAACTGTACAATACCGACAGAAGAAAAACTTTTATTATTTCGCAAAACTGACGAAAGAGTTGGGCTTTCCATTTTCCACGTGGAACTTTTACGAAGAGTCACACGGTAAAGGAGCCGCTGATGGTGTAGGAGGAGCCATTTAAAGAAAATTAGACTCAATTGTCGCTTATGGTTCAAATGTTCCTGACACTAAAACAGCTTATGAATTTTTACAAGCGTCTGAAACCAAAATACAGCTTTTCTTTATACCTGAAGATGCCATGCTGAACGAATCAGTAGAACTCTTACCAGTACCAAACACGATGAAAATACATCAGATTATTAACAATGTTGACTTAGCTAACTCTATTTTCTACCGTTGTTTAAGTTGCTTGTTTAAGTTGCGACTGTCACAATTTGAAATCTGCGGAGAAATGTTAAATGAAAAATCTATTCCGTCTAAAACGTCTATAACAGTATTAGCTGACATTAAAAATACTCAAGAAAACAGATCTTATTTTAATTTGAGACAATATGGACCATTCAATTTAAAACAAATAAACCTCAAAACAGACATTGCTAGCAAAAGTTTGAAAGAAAATTCTCATGACAGAATGAAGAAATGTTCAAAGAAAAGAAAAATAAAAGAGATACACCTTAAAATAAATAAGAAACTTAAAACGGAAGAGGAGAGCAGTACAGACGAAGATATGACGATTTCTTTGCATGATACTTCTGATGAAGAGTATCACATTACAGATGATATCTTATCAGATGATGATTATCTGTATCATATGGATTATCAATTGAAAGAACAGAAGAACGTTACAAATTTAAGAAAAATATCAGACACAATTAAAATAGAGAGAGAAAAAATAGAACAATCAAGCCATGAAGATACATACACTGGTAAAAACACAAGAGAAATAAACATTTTTTCTAATGAAAATCAGGGAGTAGTTAAAACTAATTTAGCTGGACAATCTGTGATTGCTACGACTCTGCAGGATGATGAAAATAACTTTGCCAATGCAAAAAATGACTCGGAAGTGACATCAAAAATTAATACAGACATATGGAGGCTATCTTTCAAAGACACTGTACTTGTAAGGTATTATCAAAGAACCGCGTGGAAGTATTACATAGGATTCTTGGAAGACAGTTTTAAAAAAGAAGGAAAATCTTATTTTACCATACGATTTCTGAAAACCATTAAAAAACCGGAGCTAAAGTTTATAATTCACAAAATAAAAGATGAAGATACTGTAACTGAAGATTTAATAGTTAAGCAGGTTAAAATAACCCAAAACACAAAACGACCAAAAGAATACTTTTTAGCTGATCCTAGTGATAAGGTTTATTTTGAGTAAAATATTTACAAGTAGGAAAGATATAACATGTTCAATTTCTTCTGTTATATATATATATATATATATATATATATATATATATATATATATATATATATATATCAAATAATGCCAAAATAATACGACTGTGTAATTCTAAGTACAAATTTTGATCTCTTTGTTTTTTAAGTTGTTTTATTAAGTAAATAATTCTATCTATAATCGTATTTTATTTGAAATTAAATTTTTTATTGCTTTATGTGCATCAAGCTTAACAACATTTCCAGTGTGTTATCGTGTGTTACAAGTTCTTGTGTGTTATGGTACATTTTCTGTGAGCCTCACTCATTGTATAGAATAGATGTAATTGGTTTGCCGGAAACGGCTTTAACGGTTTGGGTGAAATATTAAATATTTAGATAATGTTTTACTTTCCTAACTTTATCAAGATATGTTTCATCCCTGAGTACTTTTTTTTATAGAAGAAGGGGCAAACGAGCATACGGTTCACCTGATGTTAAGTTACTACCGCAGTCCAGGAACATCCGCAACACCAGAGGAATTGCAGGTGCGTTGCCGGCCCTTTAGAAAGGAGTAAGCTCTTTTCTTGAAGACCCCCAGGTCGTATCGGTCCGGAAATCTCGCCGAAACGTTCAGTGGTGGACCGTCAAGCATCCAGATGGTGTTGATGGTGTCGGGAGGCTTGCCGCGTAGTGCGGTCATAACATTTGGCGGCTGGGATTAATCCGAACAATTCCTCAGAGCCCTCTCCATGGTATATGCGAAAGATAATGCAAAGAGATGCAACATCTCTACGCAGCGCCAGTGAATCAAGCAGATCGGAAAGCACTCGCGTCGTCGACGATTCAAGCCGCTCTGCGCTGGATGCGGTCAAGAGGAAGGAGCTGGTACTAGGGAGCCCCAGCCCAGAGATGGGAAGATTATTCCATGTATGGCCGAACCTGCGCCTTGTAAAGTTGCAGGCGGTGTGCCGGCTTGAAATACTGTTTCGCTCTGCTGAGCACGCCAAGCTTTTTTGAGGCCAATTGGCCTTCTCTTCCAAGTGACCACGAAACTGCACGTCACTCGATATGTCGACGCCGAGGATTCCGATACTGGCTGCGGCAACAAGGGGAGTGCCTTGAAACTGACGAGATAAGACAAAGGGGCCTTTTTAGCGGTTAACGCGCAAACTGGTGTCTTCTGAAAGTTAAACTGGACTAGATTTAGTCGCCCCCCGATCCAAGACTTTGTACAGCAAAGTCTCGACTTCAGACACATGTTTTTCCCGGTACTCGGAGACGTTTTCCCGAGAAAATTTGGCACGGCCGGTGTACAGAGCATCACCAGTGCTATCTTCTGCATAGCAATGAATGTTATTGTTTGCAACATATCATTGGTATGCAGAAGAAACATCGTTGGTGATAGCACGCAGCCTTGTGAAACACCAGCATTAATAGGCTTGTAATCGGAGCCTGCACCGTCTACAACAACCTTGATGCTCCGATTTGCAAGAAAGCTGGTGATCCAATTGCACAATTTCTCGGGAAGACCATAGGAAGGGAGCTTCGAAAGAAGCGCTTTGTGCCAAACCCGATCGAAGGCCTTCGCAATGCCAAACTAACGGCCAATGCTTCCCCCTTGGACTCTTCTGGCGCCGCCCATCTATGAGTGTGGTAGACCAGAAGATCATCAGCTGATCGACCACGGCGGAAACCGTATTGGCGATCACTAATCAGCTGGTGATTCTCAAGGTACCTTATGAGCTGGCAGTTTGGAATGGATTCCATTTTGGAGAACAAGGAGGTAATGGCGATGGGCCTGTAGCTGGACGGGTATGAGCGGTCGCCTTTTTTAGGGATCGGGTAGACTAAAGCCGTTTTCCATGATTTTGGGACTACGCCTAGAGAGTAGGAGCACCAGAAAAGACGCGGTAAGACCGGTGCCAACTCTGGAGCACACGTCCTAAGCACAATTGGGGGGATACCGTCAGGCCCACTCGACTTGTGGATGTCCAAGGAGAGGAGTGCTTTGCGAGCCGAGCGCTGTGTAAACCGCACCTCCGGCATGGAGCACTCACACCGCGAGATGGTTGGAGGCGTACTCGCCCCGTCATCGAAAGTCGAGTTGGACGCAAAGAAAGAGCCTGGCAGATCGGCTTTCTCCTATGCGGCATGGGCCAGTGAGTCGTTCTCCCTGTATGATGAAAGAGATGGCTGACAGAAATTCCCCTGAACAGCCTTAGCGAGAGACGAGAATGCACAGGGTCCAAATAGAAGGTGAACTAGTTTCTCGCAAATTCTGCGTATGTGCTCTAACTTGCCTTTGCCTTGGTAATGACTCTTTTGAAGGACCTGGAGGCGGAATTAATACTTCTTTTTTAGAGCGCTGTTGTTTACATCCCAGGACGTTGATGCGTCAGCCCAGGCTTGGTAGCACTCTTGCTTATAGCATGATGCTATTTTACAGGGGCGACCAAACCATGGCTGAGATTTGCCTCCGATGGGCACCACAGAGGAAGGAATAAAAAGTTCCATACCCTGAAGTACCACATCCGCGACAGAATTAGCAACAACGTTGGGATCGTCCGACCAGAAGCAAAACCAAGGGTAGGACGCAAAGAAAGACCGCATCCTATCCCAATCGGCTGGCAAACACGGCGACAGCCTGCAGAATGCAACTTCGATTTCAGCGTGAGTGGCACCACACTCCTAACTAGACAATGGTCCGAGGAGCCTAAAGGGGCGTCGACGGAAATCTGATATCTTTCCGGATGTGAGGTCAGCAGAAGGTCCAACAGGGAAGGTGTATGGTCCTCCACATCTGAAATCTAAAATAATAGACCATGTCGGATTACAGGCAATGCCGGATTAGACAGGGGCCGGATTACCGAGGGTCCACTGTATAATAATTGTAAAATATTTTAAAAACATACTACAGCCGATTATAAGATAGAAAAAAATGTAGATACATGCTGCCTTTGTTCCAGTTTTGTCAAAAATTAAACCCACTATTCTTATCCATTTTTTTTCTTTATCAACCTTCTTGAGAGTTCGCTATTGAAGGAGGTATGCTGATTTACCCATATTCATCACGCAGGCAAAAGATTAGGTCAGCGAGCGTAAATGATTTGTGGTCGATCAAACTTTGGGTTTCTCGCTAGATTCTTTCGACCGAGCTCCATTACACTATTAGTATAATAGTCTCAATCTTTTAAAATACTAGTTTTAAAAATCTCTGAATATTATTCCTCTAATTAATACAAATATACGATTATAATTTATGAAGCTCTTCATAGTTTCTTAGCAAAGCCATGGTGGCAACCTATCTCCTAGATGTCTACTACAGCCCAATGATAACTTCAGTCAACTCTACCGAAGTAAAATGCCTAAGGACTAGAATTGAATATGTCACAGCCCTTATCTATATCTTCAATTTTTCCTACTCCATCAGCCCTTAACAGTCACCTGCGGGACCTGAGTTTCTCCCATTGTAGGTATGACTTGACTTTAATACTACGATTAGCTGGCGGATAGTATTTTTCGATGTCACTCCCCGTCGCCGTTCTGATTATATTACGTCTGGCTCATACGAGACTACTGTATATCGAAGGACATAGGGCTTTTGTGGACTTTTCCGTCGCTTTTCGGCGAAGCTCAATATGTATTTGAACGCCAGATACGAGATACGGATAAGTTATCTAGCCACTGTCCGAGCAAGAGTGTGTGCGGTGTACGGACCCCAGCGATAATAGCCGTCATATGTTGAAAACACGGTAGTTTCGAGTCTTCCCGTAATTTTACTAGTCAGTGAACGACGGGATTCTCTTACGCCAAGACGCCACTACTCAATACTAACATTTTTACTACATTTTTTTATAGAATAAGATTGACAAACGAGCACACAGTCCTCCTGATGGTAAGTGGTCGCTGCGGCACATTGACATCTACGTCTAACCTGGATTACGATCAAAATGCAGATGCGTTGTCACCCGTGAGGACTTAGATGGAATGCCTCGTTTCCAGTAAGAAAGGTCTCCGGTTCTCTATACTCACCAAACGAAACACAGCAGTGCTGTTAGAGCATGATCCCTCCCCGGTCGAGCCAAACCATTCGTGCTACAACGATACTACTAATGTAGCTACAGCATGGTTCTACCACGTAAAAAAAATCTCTTCGCCGTCAACCTCAAAGGAAATAACTTCAGTGCAATACTATTAATAAACAATGTTAGTATGAACATATACAAAAGGAATCCCTTAGGCACTGGATGACCGCATTTAATCTGAGTGACTGCATCCCATCCCATGAATATCAAGCACCCATTAGATGCGCCTGAAATAGTTAAGCCTGTCGCTCGGTAGTTGTAGCCCCTTTAAAATGCTATATCTACAGCCCCTTATATAACGTGAACTGTAAGAACCAATGTCTTTCAATGTGTTCAGTGAATATTGTCATACCTCAATAACTGAAATAAATGTTTTACAATCATGAGAATACATTAAAATATAAAGAATATCATAATGTGCAAGGAAGTATACTCAGCCCTATCCTATTTTTATTACATATGAATAAAATAAATAACACAGTTTATACATATAACAAATCATAAATGTATACTATTCGCTGGTGACATTAAATAATTGTAACTAGGTAATTATAATAAGCACAAAATAACACTATTAATGAACACGAGACGGGTAGAAAACTAGCTATAGATAATGTAACTGAATAGCTTGGTATAATAAATAAGAATTAATCGAGACAATTATCACACATAAATTCAATAAATTTAATTACATTAAATATACAATAAATTTCATAAATTTTATTATTACCTTAATATACTATAAATAAAGGCTTTTAACTGGAAATTACTTGTAAACGTTGTATCTACGAATAATTAAGTTCGTGCACTTTAAATGTCCTTGTATTTAAATAAGTAAAATGAAACAGAACGAAGAAAAAAACAGGGTTGTCATCATATCCTACCATGTAAGAGTAGTCATCATTACTGCGCT